TATCAAGCCATCTAACAGATAATACAGTGCCACACAACCCTTCCAAATGTTTCTAATTTGAAAGGACAGGATATGGCATTTTAGTAAGAAACTGCTGGTGAATTAGTTTCTAACATGACCAGGAGAAAAACAAAACCAAAATCAATCAAGTTGCCATTGTCTATCAGTTAGAGTCCAGGTTTCCAAGTTACATTGTAAGTTCAGGGAAACCCATCCTTCCTATATAAAATACTTAGATTCATCCTTGGTAAAGTAGCAAAAAACGCTAAAAAATGGAAATGGATACAGAAACAAAACGTCAAGGAAATGCTGGTGGCTACATATTGACTGCTAAGGCATTCTCAAAATCGCTGTAACATTGATATCCAAAGACTGGTGACCTCTTTCCTCCTCCTTTTTCCTAGTTGAGCATTAATGCAATTGAGGAAAGGAGACTTGCTGTCTGTGCTGGAAACACACCTTATCTCTTGGCCAAAGCCTCATCCAGAGGATCACCCACATCCAGCATCTGGATTTGCTGTACAGACTCACACATCTAATAATCTTTAGCTGTAATTTTCCATGTCCAGCTATAAAGTCCCACCTTCAGAGGCCACTGACCGACATAGAGAGCAAACAGGCTGACAGAAAGGTTTTATATTTGATAATGAGGATTTTAAGGAATAAAAGAGAAAGACTAAAGTACTGAGGCAACCACAGCATAAACAGCTGCCCAGAAGCTTAGCCAAAGTCACCAAGGAGACCAGGGCTTGCTGCAGACCCAGAAGAACACAGCCTGCTATTTTGTCCACAATTAAACAGCACAAAGAAGCTGCACACTAACATCTGCTACCAGAAGCCACAGAAGGTCAATCCAAAAGCTTTTCTGCTAGCATCAGTAAAGCTGAAGAGCATTCCAGGACTGCTCTTCCTTACCATTAAATGAGAAAGGGGAAGAGCCGAGATAACGCTGACTTGTTAGAACATGCAAGGACAAAGGTGCTCAGCTTTGTATCAGCTGGGCTGTGCACTGGCAAGCTGCAGGCAGCATCACAAGCGAGAGGCTAAAGAGGTGTCTTGGGTGAGTCCATGGAGGGGAAACCTCACTCCCTGTCAAGGCAATATCCCCCTCCCTACATGGTGACCAGAACAAAGCAGTTCTGACCACGTTGCCCAGGTATTGTGCATTACAGCCTCTTCTGCATCTGGGCACGCACAACTGCTGGTCAAGGAGCTGCAACCTGCAGCACAGTCCCAGTGAGACAGCAAGGCAGACTTGCTCTTACTTTGTCCAGCCAGAGGCAGCACCCATGGGCGGAAACTCCTCCAAGTTGTTAAGGTTGAGCTGGCTGGGAAGGGATCTGGCAGGAACAAGAGGCACTTCACTCCGCTTCCTTCTCCCTCCGCTCCACGATCCACTGTCACTCTTTCCATCCTCCTCTTCAGCAAGGGAGCGCCCCAGGTCACGAGCTACCTGCCGGCCAGAGGCACCGACAGAGCTGCTGCCTTTCCTCCGGCCTCGTCTCACGGGCAGGGCTTCGGGCGTGGCCGCCAGGAAGCTCCCCAGGCTGGCCTTCTGAGAGGAGCGCTTCTCACCCTGGTGGAGCACAGGGCTGTGCCCAAAGCTCGGGCTGCTGCTGGAGACCACGCTGAGGAAATCACCACAAGGGCTAGACAGGTTTGAGCCAGAAAAGGAAGAGGAACCACTGGATGCTGCAGCAGGAGAAAAGCTGGTATCTGTGGTGCAGGTGGTCACTGAAGTCCTTTGAGAAAAGAGCTGCACTCGGCTGCTGGTTGCATGGCCTGCCCTCCTTTCTGACCCTGTCCTTTGGCTCCCATGGGCCTTGGAATTAGGAGTTTTAGCAGGAGTAGGGGGTCCATTAGTCAGGATCTGGCTGGTCTGCTCCCTTAAAAAATTTAGCAGAAAAGGCACAAAATCTTTCTGAAGCAAGCTAAGAGATACCAGCTTGTCATGGATGTGGTTCTCCTGCAAGAAAAGTAGACAAAAAGTTAATATAAAGATGCTACCTGTTTCTTTCTGTCCAAGTACCCAGATATATTTAAGTAGTAACTATGGGACTTCAATATACAATAAAAACCAACATGACTTGTCAAAGTAGGCCACTGAAATTCAAGCAACCATAGTGCTGGTCACAGACCTGAAAATCAGCCTACATATAAGCCATTTTGGCACAAGTTTTCAGATGGAGTCATTCACCTTGGTCTCTGACCGGAAAATAGTGCAACTGTTCCATGGAAACATCAGTAATACTCACTGAAGCTATGGCCAGGAAGGACTCGGAGCAAGTGACACCCCCGAGTTCAATATTTTGAAACCATCAGTACTGAAAGCATCTAATTCTAGCAGAAAAATCTAAAATCTGCAAGGTCTCTGTGCCCTATTTTTCTGTGAATGCCACCTGCTCCCACAGAGGGGTGCTATAACAACAACCGTTGAAGTACTTGGAGTCCTACAGCACCAAATACAAGACCAAAGCTGTTCTTCTATTCCAGTTAAATTATTTTGCTTGAGACCTCACATAGGTCTAAACAGAGACTGTGCAACTTCAGGGTACACGAAGTTTATACTTGAGAAACTTAAACAAAAGCCCCACCACTGACTCAACACATTTGAAATCTAAACAGGTGGTGGTGATCTTACACGGGTAAATCTAGACAAAAACAACTTCATAGTATATGCAGAGTTTGAAGTTTTGTACCCTGAGTAAAAATTCTTTTGTTCCTAACACTGCACTAGGTTTCTGTTTCCTCTCAATGGGATTCAGCAACATCTGCAACAACAGAAGTTTTCAAAGGCAGCAACTTTTTCCTTACTGATACTGAAAGCATGGCACACGTACTCCAGTCAAGTTATAGTCACAACTCTACTAGATGAAAAGCCCAAAAAGCAAACACTATTTCTGAAGGTGGTTTCTGCCTGAAAGAAAGCAGTGAAAGCATGCCTGGACTCACACAATCCTCAACACTTATACTAAAACTCATATTTGAAAACACGAGACCAATTCAGCTCCTTGGAGAAGCGTGAGATTCTGACACAGCCCGGATGACAAAGCCAAGCAGCCAACAGTCAGTGAAAAAGCACAGGTCAGAATACAAACCCCATGAGGTGTCAGAAGACCATCTCCAACCCAAAACTGCCATTAGAGCTAGAGCAAGGCATAGCCTAGCATTTCCTTCCCCTGGAATTAGCACAAGGGCATGAAGATGATTACAGTCTATGCTATGCATAAGGTTGGGTAGTTTCTCCAACTTGTCAGAGCACAACCTGTTGTCATTCATCTTTCTCTGTCCAAGTTAACCAAGGTTTGATTCCTCCATAACTGATAACAGCAACCTGTCAACAGCTGCCAGCTGCAAACCTCCCGCTTGCTTTCTCATGCTGCTCCCATACACTACTCCCAACAGCAAAAGGCAGCAAGAAATTCCCTTGCAAGGGCAAACTTTTTGACCTCCACACCCCTCACCCACATAGCACTAGCTCAGCTGGCAGGATCTCAAACTTGATAATGTCCACAGGTCTGCTTCTGCAAGTCACAGCTGAAGAAATACCACACAGCATAAAAGTGCTGGTCCATTCTTCCCACACGTTCAAGACGATAGCAGTACCCGACTAACTCATGTGGGTGATACCAGTAAGCTTTAATACTAGGTAACACAACGCAAAGGGCTCAGGTAGAAGATGCCTTAAATACCAATTGTTTGTCTGTGTTATTCTCTATGTGAAATATAAGCACTCCTATTCTATCTACACTTACAAATGCTTTTATTTCCACAGGAACCCAAATCGTTCGTTACAGAACCCAGCCAACGAGCACTCTCTCCCAGCCCACAAAGATCCTCCCCAAGCGGGACGAGCATCCAGCCGGCAGGCGCGCTGGCGCCAGCACAGAGCCACGGCCAAGCCCCGGGCGCTGACAGCCTCGTCCTCCTCTCACCGCTACTTTTCCCTACAGCGACGCGGGAAGCGTCAGCCCCGGTGTCACCGCGTTCCCTCCGGACACCAGCTGCGCTGCGCTGCGCTGCCCGCCCCTCTCCTCGCTGGGTTCTGTGCTGGCACACGCCAGCCCGGGCTCCCGCCGCTTTCCCCCGGGCTCCCGCCGCTTTCCCCCGGGCTCCCGCCGCTTTCCCCCGGGCTCCCGCCGCTTCCCGCGCCCGCGGGGCCCTCCCCCGCTCCCGCCTCGGAGCCGCCCGGCGCCGGCGGCGCTGAGCTCCGGCGGGCGCAGCCCCGCGCATTCCAGCGGGCTCCTCACGCCTGCCGGGCAGCTCCCGGCGCAGTTCCCCGCCGGCGGCCTCGCCTTCCCGCCGCCGTGCCCGGAGCCCGCCCGCGCCGGGAGGCGGTGCCGCCGGCTGCTCGATGGCAGCTCGGCCCCAGCTGCGGAGCGGCACCTGACAGGGCCCCGGGCTGACCCACGCGGGCTTCGCGAGCAGCGCGGGGCGGACAAACTTTCCCGCACGGCCCCGGCCCGCGGCAGCGGAGGGCGCTGGGGGAGTGGCTGCGGGCCCGGCCCCGCCGGAGCCAGGGCGCTGCTGGCAGACGACCTCGCGCGCGTTACCTCAGCCGGGCGGTGGCCGGGGCCGTGCCGGAGCCACCGCACCACGGCGCTGACCGGCACCTCCTCCTGCAGCAGCAGCTCCAAAACCGCCGCCATTCCCGGCCCCGCTCCCGCCGAGCACGCGCACAACCCGCGCCGGGGGCGGGCCCGGCGTGTCCCCCCTTCCCGCGGGGGCGGCGCCGAGCGGGGATTCCCGCCGGGGAGGCGGGCGGGGGCCGCGCCCCCTCCCCATGTCAACACGCGGGGCACGGGGCGCCTGCGCCGGTCCGTGCGCGTCTTTTCCTCTCATGCGCGGTATTTCCTTCCCCAGCAGGGCTCGGGGCCCGGCCTAGCGGCGGCGGCACCCGCGAACCGGGGTGCAGGGAAGGGCAGCGGCGTCCCCATCCCCGCCCCCCCATCCCGCGGCTCTCCTCCCGCCCGCCCTCCCGCCGACACCCGCGGCGGAGGATGGCCGAAGACTCGCCGAAAAGGCGCAAGGCGAATTTCAACGAGGCGGAGACGGAGGTGCTGATCGAGCAGGTGCTGAAGCACGAGCAGCTGCTGTTCGCGGCGGGACCCGGCCGCGCCTCCGCGGGCCAGAAGCGGAAGGTGTGGGAGCTGATCCGGCACAAGGTGAACCCCGTTGCCGCCTGCCCCCGCGACGTGGAGGACCTGAAGAAGCGCTGGCGGGACCTGAAGCGCCGCGACCGCAGCAAGCTGTGCCGCCTCTCGCAGGGCTGCGGGCCGCCCGCGCCCCCCGCCCTCGGCCTCCTCCTGGCCCCCGAGGAGCTGCCGCCCGCCGCCGCGCCGCCCGCCCGCCGCCAGCGCCGCGCCTACGGCTCCCTGCTGCCCGCCGAGGCCGTGCCTATCGTGGGCGGCATCGACACGCTGGAGCTGCCCGGCGCCGTCGTGGGGGACATGGGTGAGTGCGGGAGCGACCCCCGCGGCAGCCCCGGTCTGCGGGGGAGCGGCGCTGCGTGCGCGCCGGGGCCGCGGGGACCGGCCCCGCAGGAAGGCTCTGGTTCGGAGCCTTGGAAAGGCAAACGTATATGGACGCACACAGAACTTCGTGCTCTAGGTCATAAAAGTGCCTGAGAGCAGCACCCAAGAGTAAAAACTGCGTCTCGTAACAGATGGTGCCCTTCCACGAGGCGTTAGACCCGGCCACCGATCTTCACTGTTGCAGTAATTATTCTTGCAAATGAAAAAAGCCATGGCAGCACGCAGGTCCAGCCAGTACAAAGTGCTGCGAGCACAATAACTTTGTACGTGCTGGAGATAATGTCCTAGCATGCTGGAATACCAAGGGATTCTTGCAATCACAATGTTTCAGCAATGCTCTTACTGTTTACTGCGTGCACGATAGAGCATGAAACGAGCTTGCAGTGAACTTTGGGTTCCTAAAGTTTGGCTTCTGTGGTGGTAAGGGAGCTGTAGTATGCAGATACACGGTCAGCTGGTGAATGCCACCTATTGAGGTAATTTGTATCCTAAAACCATCAAAGATAACATAGGGTGAGTTTAAAGTCTTGTTTCAAGGACTAACCTTAGTGCTTAGTGGATGAGAACATATATAACCGCTGAGGTTATGAAGTTTCTCACGCACTTTGCTTTGCTTTTCTTCTTCCCCCCCACCCCCCTTCTAGGGTTTAATGGCAGTCCTGGCCCATCTCATCAATCCAGTCTTGAGCAGATGAACCTCAAAGAAGAAATAGTAGTGAAGGTGGTAGAGCCAGAAGAAAGCTCTGAGGACATGGTAGTGGTTCCACCTAGTCAAGAACAACTGCCTTTTCTGGGGACATCAGGTGGTGGTTCCTCTGGGAAAGTAAAAGCCAAAACAAAAGGCAGGTCCCAGGCAGACCAAAATGAAATGACTGAAGAGGACCTACTGCAGATTCAGCAGACCCAAATACAGGTGATCCAGTCTGGCTTTGACAGTGTCAACCACAATCTTCAGCTGCTGCAGCAAGGCATGCAAGATCTGAGTAACAGCATCAGCATCATGGCACATACACTTGTGGCTATCAAGAACGTCTATGTGAAAAACAACACTGGCCCAACCACACATGCTACTGCATCTACTCAGACCACAGCTGGATACCTGAGCCCAGGATCCCCCCAGCTCTCCCCTGCTAAGGACAGAGCTAGAGCACAGGTGGCTGGAAGCAGCAGCAGAAGCAGCAGCTGCAGCTCCAGCTCCATGTCACAAGAACCAGGTCCTTCTGAGTTTCCTAGGCCCCCTCTGAGAACCATTAAGAAAGAACATCCAAATGGCTGCTACTACTTCTGCTTTGCAGATGTGTGAAAACTTGGGTATACATAAGAAGATTGTATTGTTGGGTGCTGATGTATGTTCTGCTCCGGCCTGTGACGTTGAAAGGAGCGAAGTGGACTTGCCTCCCATGTTTTTCCCAGTGGGAAACATTCTGCTATAGGTGGCATTAAACACTAATTACCAGTATCCAGTTAACTCTGTTGCAGTTGGCTAATAAATGTCTTTTCTTTATCCTCTTACTCTCTTAAAAATCCAAACATTTATTTTGACCAAGATTTTTGTCTGTATCATCCCTTGTTTAATGTCACCTTGTGAAAAATAAAAGGCATGAGAGTGAGGTAAAAAAGTAACATTATGGTTACTACCACCACTACATTATGGCTCCTACCATCAGGAGTTATTTTACACAAGTTACTTGGTTCTTGGATTAAACAAACCTCAGAAATAGCTGGTTTTTTTCAGTACGTCCCTTTTCTAATAGTTATAATGTTTCCTTGGTTATTGTTGAATTTTTTTAAGTCTGAGCTGTTCAAGGCATCACAGGAGGAGTTGGAGATAATTGCTTATTCTAGGAATGGTCTAGGACTGAGGCATTCTGAGGCATTTATGGGTGTCCTCCTCAGAATTCAATGTTAAGCGTGGCTGTTGTTTATTCCCAGCTTGTCAAATGCACCTTCTCTTCAGAGGCATCGTGTTTACTGCACTGGCAGGGTAGTCTCTTTTTTTGTCACACGGTTAAAGCAGAGAAGTACAGAAGAATGAGGAATGGATGAGTGATGCCTGTTTCTGACATAGGTTATATATAGGCTGTATCTTCATCTCATTTTGTAAGTCTTACGGAATCAGTACCACAGTATTTTAAATACAGAGAACAAAAAGCTTTGTATTGTTTTACATGATATGGAAGTTAGATTTGCTGTTGAATTACAGGAGGCCGGGGCTCATTTCATTCCAGACAAATGCTCCTGCATAGGTTAGGAAGCTCTCATTATCATTTCCTTCCTTGTAACTATAACCAAGGAAGAAGAAAGATGAGGAGCAAAATGTAACCTGGTGTCAACTCTGAAACAAGCAAAACTCATTTTATCTTCATGCCAAAAAGAAAGGCCATTTTGCATTTAGATAAGGAAAACTATTGTCACTGGCACTATTTTGTGTTTCAGGCTTATACATTAGAGCCACTCTACTTTGCACAATTCAGAGGTAGCAGAGTGCAATGTTCTTATATCTGGTGTCTGTACCAAAGGGCAAACAAAAACATTCTCCCCTGAAATCTTGTCCAATGACTTGAAAAATCATACAGGTTCTCTTCTTAAGCATTTATCAACAACATTTAAAAAAGTTCTACAGATAAAAGATTGCCTATAGCAATGACTAGCTGCCTCTAGTGTTACAGTCAATTTGCACAAGCAAATTCTTCTTCAGGAGGAAGAATTCTGCAGGATTTTAGCAAATCCTTCTGCAGGAACATAGAAAATACAATTATCATAGAGAATCACAATTTAATTCCTCTCCTAGAGGCCTAAGAATATGTAATAGCATAAGGTATGCCACTTTTGCAGTCAGCTTTGACTGAACACCACTGTATGAAAACGTACTTAATTTCTGCCCTTACACCATTTTGATGTACTGAATTAACTCACCTGCACTTCAAAAACTGCTGCCTACTAAAATGTGAATATGGGGTAATCAGTTGTTAGTGTTTCCCATCAGTATCACAGATGGAGTAAAATACGCAAATATCTCACAAAAATGAGATGTATGCATGTACAGCACAATGTTAATTGGTATTAATGCCTTGAAGAAGAGAAAGTTCTCTTTTCCAAGTTTACCTTAAAAAAAGATGGTACGGGTGATAGGTATTAAGAAATTGCTGAGTTTAAGAATGGCGAATAATTGATCCTTCTAAATTAGAATTTTGTTGTTAAAAGCTTTCCAAATTAACCTGTTGGAAGCATTATTTCTCTCCCATCAGCACAGATGGACTCTTGCACGGTTTTCTGTATTTTGTTTTCAAGGACAAAGAAGCTAATTCATGCTACCATGACATTCTAGGTAGAATAGCAAATACAATCTACCTGGTCCTTCTGGGCAGCAGTATGAGCTTATTCAGGTTGCAGCTGGAAGTTCTTACCTGTCTTTCTTTTGATATTTCTATTCTTTTTGCAACTGTTAATTCTTGAATTTCACGTACTACAGCATTTCTTGGGAGAGTTGACTTGTGTCTGCTCTCTCATGTTTCAGTACTGATTTACGTGAGAGGCAGCTACTGTGTGAGTAGAGAAGTGCAGCAAGATCCTGTGAGCAGAATGGGCAGATTTGATCTCCTGTATGAATGAAGACAAGCCAGGCAATGCTAAAAGACATTGTGGTGGTCAGACAAGAACCAGACCTCAACATCAGTCTACCACAGCATGTTTGTTCTGATCTTCTTTCTTCCTCTGTGTTTCAGTTGTACCACTAAAATATACTGAAGCCAGATCAAAATCACTCTTCCACTTCTGTTACATTCTAGATTTACATATTTTAAACAAAGAAAGAAACTGAGCTACCTCTCATTACTACAGAATGGGCAAAATTGTTATTTTCATCTTCCAATTAATACAGTTGGTTGCTATTTCTTTACACACCCTTTCTGTCATCAACTGATGGTTGTATTAGGAGCACTGAAATCACATGCACCATCCAGAAGCCATGCCATTAAGTTTCTGGCAGCTCTTAACAGACAGTGAAACATAATTTTCTTGGACTGTTACTGAGTAAATGAATTCCTAATTTGTTTCCTCTCCTGTGAAGCTGGAATAATAGAGGCTATTTGTATTAATCGCAAGAACTAATGACCTGGTCATAAAGCTTAATGAAAATACTGCCAATGATTTGAACAGAGGCAGAGCTGGCTTTAAATTTGCCTGAATGGATGGCATAACAGAGGTAATACTGAAAAAGAAATCCAGGTAATTTTCTGGAATCTTCTGGACTTCCCTAAAAAACTTGTCCTGCTGTGCAAAGTGCAGACTGTTTTCTGGTAGCATAGGACTAAGACATTCAGGCACACAAACCACAAATATAGATGGTGATGATTTTTACCCTCTACTTATGCTTAATGTTACTAGAAAGAGAAATAAAAGGGTCTTGGAAGAAACTAGAGCAACACTAACATTGTATCCTCACGCTGCATTTTCCCCATAGCACTCAAGATTCAGTAACAACTTCCATTCATTCATTTCTCTGCTATTTGCTGCTTAAGTTTATTGCACAGAGGGAGACAAGTCTCCTCAAGACACTGTAAAAGCTCAGTGACTACATCCAGACAGCTGATTATCCCCAAAAGAGGTCAATTATAATAGTGACCTCTGACTAAATAAAAAACTACAAATTTGAAGGGAAAAATGCTGTCAGCAGCTGGCTTTTCAGGACCACCATATTTTACTTAAATTGACCTGATCTGCTGTGCCAATCATTTATTGTTTAGATGAATACAGACAGAAGGGGTAAGAACAAATTGAAAGGTTTCTGAGGAGGCCCATTTGGATTTTTCTGTTATTACTATACAACACATGAACCTACTAAATCAGTTTAACTTCCATTGACTCAATCATTTCAATTTGCAATATGAACATGTGATCCATGCTGCAGTAGTACCAACACATGCTTGCTTTTTACTTTCTTGAAACAGAGAAAAAAATAATCAATGCCAAAGCACTTTATCCATTTAAATTACAGGGTTACAATAGTAAAGAACACTGAAAAACATTTCAGCCAAAGCTTTATAAGTTAATGAATCATTATTCAAACACAATCAAGAATTGAAGTTTTGCATGCTGAATGAATATTTTATTTAGAACCAGTTTATAAAAATAAAATACAAAATAATTTGAAAACAAAACTTAAACATTGTACAAAGCCTTGATATGGTACAAATGAGAAAATAAATAATTACAACTTTATGTACAAATGACCATTACAAGGGCATTAACTCTTTATGCTCTTGAGTGCCTGAGCAAACTTAAATGAAAAGAATGGCTTTGAAGATTTCCAAGGAGGGGAAGAGAACTGCAATTACTGAGCAAGAGAATTTGAAGGACTCAACATTTGTCTTCCGCAATGGTAAAAAACAATCTTGGAACTACTTTCCACTTAATTTAATCATGCTGCAGCTTTACTATTGAGTACTTGATTTCTTATGGGGTGACAGCAATGTAATTTTAATTAATTCACAATTTCATTCTTTGTGGTATTTCCCAGAGATTTTAGATTAGCAGCCATTGATTGGCCACTTCAAAAAGTCAGTTCTTGTCTGAAGGCATTGCTGGTGATTTCCTTAATTTACTAGTTTGGATATTCATAGGAACTCATTTGAAAACTGGCATCTCTTAGCACAAGCACTCAACTTGAGTCTGGGCTGACTCTAGAGAAAGAAAGTTAAAAGTTTGGGAAGAATTTCCAATCTTGCCTTCTATGCAATGAAAGTAGAGGATGCAGAGAATGCTGCTTGGCAACAAATCCAGATCTCCAGTCAGAGGAAACAGATGTGAAATTGCCAAAAAAATCCAAAAATCCTACTCCACTTTGTGTCCAACCTGTATGACCTTGCCTGCCATGCAGCAGATAATGGTTTTAAAAGGATCTGAAGCCAGGCAGACCAAACTAATTACACTGCATCTCTTGGAGCAAGCTGTTCTGCTGTTACCATAGGCCCTTTACATAAAAGGTCAAAGGTCAAGTGATCTCAAAACAAACATCAAATTTATTCCAGCTGAATTCCTACAGACACGTGTGGATGATCAGGACCTTACATGATTAGCCCACTTGTGGTGTTGTTTTGAAACAAACCACATTATACTCTTGGCCAAAGCTTGAGAAAGAATGTATTATCATCAGTGGAGAGTAAAATCAGCCTACCTTTGCAAACCTATATGACAAGAGTCATTGCAAAGTTAATACATCAGTCTTTGAAACAATGGACTCCTGTACATTTTTCCTTAGAAAACCCAACCAAACAAAAAACCCTCTTGAAAGACACATATTTAAAAGCCTGATTATTTAAACCACAGGAAAACAAGTGATAAAAACTTTTTGGCATTTGACAATATCTTAAGATAATTCCTGACAATTATTATATAATCCAGGCTGACTTTATGTAATTTCTCTTTCACAAATATTATGTGTAGGGAAAAGGAAGACTGGCTTCAAGCAGACAGGTGAGGTATTCTTATGTGAGGTGCATGTTTATGCGATTTGATTAGCTAAGAAATGCATGACCTATGCCAGTGTATTGCATGTAGTCAAAACATTGAACCTCACTCCCTTTTACCAGCATTCCTGGTAAAATTGTACTAATTACAACCAAAGACATTTGAGCCAAAAGCGAAACAGCAAAGAAACCCCATCAGTTCACTGCCTACTTGATTAGCTAAGAGGAGTTGAATAAAAATACTATGTCCTTTTCTATAAATTTCAGAAAGAGGAATCATAGAATCATCAAGGTTGGAAAACACCCCCAAGATCCAAGTTCAACTGCTAACCTAGCACTGCCATGTTCACCATCCAACGAATACCCAAACCTTTTACCAGTTGAAGAGAGGAATCGTGGATAAACATCAAGGCCTTTATCCAGCGAACAGTTCTCTGACCATTCCCAAAAGTGGGAAAGCATACAGAGAACGCATCACAGGAATCTTGGTGTTTACCTAAGCAGACCCTGACTCACTGAAAATGACAAGACAGACATGGCTCTTGTCACCTCACAACATCAGTCCTGCATGAAAAAATCCACATATTACAGGCCTTATAATGAGAAAGACTTTAACTCTGAGCTCTTTTATTTTCCTATTCCTTTTCAGACGACTACTCTCTCATTTAAGATATATATAAAAATTGGAGGCACATATAATTTGTTTTCCATTAGGCCCTTTTAAGAAATTGGAATAATCACATTCTTCTTACCAGAATTTACGCGTCTTAGTGTTCCATAAAAATGTTCAATTCATTACGGAAAAATTCTGTTTACAGGAAATAGACAGTACTGTAAATCTTTATCTACATTCTCATCAAAGAGAAAAAGAAAAAAATATTTAGAAGCATTGCAGTCAACCATTGCATAAATGCTACTGCAATAAGAAGGACTTACAGGAGTTTTGCCCAAGTAGGACTATAGGATCAGGCCTTGTAATATGAAAAAGACACAGAATCAGAATTAGGGCATAGGGACATTGCAGTAGATGAAAAGGAGACCAGAGTAAAAGCAAAACAGGTCTTGGCTCACTCTGGCAAATGAATTCCAGTGAACAGGATGGAATAGCTGAGACTCTTCCTATCTATATGTATATACACACATATATATGTATGTATATATATATTTCTATATAATATACAGTATCTATATAAGTGTATATGTAGATACACTTATGTACAAATGTGTATTTATATATATATAAAATCAAAATTGTGTGTCTTGCCAGCAATAGTTAATACTATAATACTACAAATTGTAGATGATAGAGCTCCAGCAAGTCTTTTTCAGATGAAAAATATTTCAAGCTATTTTTAAATATATAGGACCAAATCCTCTCTTATACATCAAGACTGTTTAGTGAGGTATGCAAAAAAGCTTGATCTCAAACATGCAGACTTCAAGGTAAGAATATGCCCAGATTTCCCAAGACAGGGTGTGGCTGGTGGCTGTAATGAATGCCTTGTGTCACTCTGCAGGGGTTTGCCTCCTGTATAATTATGTATAACTAGCAGTTACGATCTCATCTTGCTCCTGCCTTTGAGCAGTGAAATTCTCTACACTTATCGATCCTGCTCAAGCAGTAGATAGGTACTTAGCATCATACAATTTGCCAGCGTTGCTCTACTGTATCACACTTTCTATTACTCTAGCAGGGTTTTACCTAAGTAGTAATTGGCATTTGTAATTAATAAAGAGGTTAATTAATATTGATTTTTGAGATTGAAACTTAGATTGATTTTACCATGCAATATTGTAGCACAAAAGTCTGTGTGAAATGTTTGGTGATTTCAAGTTCTATTTTAGTTTAAAGGCTTCATGCCTCAGTTTCTCTAAAAAATGCTCCAAAGTGCTGGCCACAACACAGAATACACCATAAAGAGGAAATGAGCGTGCGGCATCTGCACCTGCTACATGTCATGGCTCCATTGCACTGCCCTCCAAAGAAATGGAGGCTTGAAGAAGACAAAGCAACAGCTCCTTGAATTTTATTATTTCCCAGCTAATATTCCGATATAAGCTGCTGTGTGCTATGCAGAGTAACTGTAGCCATTTTGTACAATGGAGAAAATCTTCCCCATCCCTGAAAATGTGTTGCAGATAACCTGCCATAAACCATTTACACACACTCTGCACAAGGGCCACACACATGTACATTGGTGGTTTTCTGCAGAGCCAGTTCCACATTCAAATACTGAAGCTTACAACGTCCTTAATGATTATATAGGCCCTCTAGAAATATTAAGCTAATATTTATGTATGAGTTGATCAGCTGACCATTACTTAATAACATTAACTGATTGCTATGTTAGACTATAGTAAGTTCTGTAAACTTTTGGGAGGAGGGTATCAAGCAACAAAAAACTTAAGAAGAGCAGGTACTTCAAGCTAAGTTACTCACAATTGCTCTTCCATTCACATCTTCATGATTTTCTCCTTAGATTCTTTTGCATCCACAGCAAAAAAGCAACTGGGAGTCCTTTTAACTTTTTCATCACCAAAAGAAGCCTGTGTCATCAATCACAATTGATTTCTCTTTTTCTTTTTGGCATTACTATTTTTACATTGGCAAGTAGTTCAAGTACAAGTGAATTTCTACAGCATTGGTTTATTTTACATAGTAATGTCTAACAATGGACAAGCCTGTACTTTGAAGACAACATAAAATAGGTGTTATATGCTCTCTCACCTGTAAAGGAGTTACCACTTCTGGATTCTGTTACACTAGAGAGAAAATTTAAACACCTCAACTTCAGCATTTTCAGGCAAGGATGCATAAAGTTAGTACTTATGAAAACTGACAATGTAATGTAGGAATAAACTTACATGATGATAATAAATGCTTTCCAGAAATAAGGAAAAATAATCATGGGCTGCCACACCACCTTAACAAATAATTCCAGCAAGTGCCCAGGACAAAAACATCACAATGTAACCAAATTCTTTTTTATGGTATACCATACAGAAACATGTAGAAAACAGGAAGGAAAAGATGGAATTTGCTGTTGTCACATTCATCCATTAGGTATTCATAGACTGTCACTGTTCTTATATGACAAGTATTCACAATTAAGAACTCACATTATGAAATAAAAATGAGTAAAACCTATTTGTAGTAAAAAATAAAAATACCTTTTGAGTCTTTGTTCTTGTTCCATATGCAAATGTACACATGAAATTAGAAATTAAAAAAAAAAAAACAAGCTGCAAGACAAAACATTGGCTGGTTGAGAAATCAGCAGTCCTTCAATTTTGTACCAAGGTATAAAGGCTATTAGAATTTGTGCATTCCAGACTTTTTTTTTGCCAGGGGTGCAGGGGCAAATAGAAGAGGTAAGTATATGGGAACTAACAGAATGGGAACTATATTATTTGTGGTCCATAAATTACAAATGAAAAATGAGAAAGAATGAGTTTATATAAGCATATACACATATGTATATATAAATATTTATATTATATAATTTACCATGAGGACATGCAATTATTGGTATAGCACCTATTATACAATATAATACAAAGGAATAGGACTTTCCAATGGTACAGTTTCTTCAGAAAAAGCAGGTATACCCTACCTATTGCATTCATCTGTAGTGCTTGAAACCTGAATGAAATTAAGGTTCCACACTGTGCTACATTACATATGGGAAACAATATACATAGTCATAGTAAGAAAAGAAAAAAATCAACATAGTCTGACAAAGCAAGTGAAATTCAGTGCAGCTCTAGGGCAGCTTTAATGCAGCATTAGAATGTGTTAGCTCAGAGACAAAATATTCCCTTTTTAATCCAAAGGTATTAATTTGGCAGAGGTTAAATAAAAAAGCACAGATGCTGGCTGGAGAGGCATATGACTACAGCAAGCAGATCAGTAACTGACAAGTGTCCTACGCATCCAGAGTCTCCACAACAGGAATCATTAGGGAGGAGAGTTGGCTGCATCGTTCCCGGCCTTGTGTTCTTGTGTGTCCCTGTTCTGACCCACTACACTTTTCTGAATATAGCAAAAGGTGCCACAACTTTCATTCCCTACAGAGTTCCCGCAGAGCACAAGATGTTACTAAGTAACTACCTAATAAAGTTGGAGGAATTAAACACCATGGACTTTACTGAGAGTCAACAAAGCTTAGCTGCCAAAAACGCATTTAGGAAACAGAATGACAAGAATCCAATATAAAAAATATTTCAGATTTCTTTCCATATATTTTGCTTTCATGATTAATATTCTTACCCAGATTTTGTAAGGGTTTTAAGCATATTTCCATCACCCTTAACCTATAAAGCTCACAAAGTAGACAATCTCCTCATCTCTGTTTCATCTTTCATGATTTTAGAAAACAAATGACCAAAAAACCAAATCTTGATTGGTAATCATCTCTGCATTGTAAGTTCTGGGGTTCAAGTGATCCATAACTAATGGAAAAACAAAAGTCAGCAACAACAAAGGTTCTTTTTTCAGTTGAATTAAGGGGGTAAAGGAAGGTTCTTATTTTCTAACTTACACTGCATTTTACTGTAAATCTGCAACATCCAGTGAAGTGCATACATCTACTCCTTTCTCTCATTTCCTAGGAAGGAATGCTTTTCCTAATCCTACCAAATGTGGTTTGAAGAACCCCACTATGACTCCCAATACACTGTATGATATAGAACTGAGAATCAGCTTCTTGGATCCTAATTACTGCTGAACAAATTTCTAAATAGTTTTGGTACAAAAACATCTTGTCAATTGTTCATTTCTTTAATTTCATCAGTATCAAAAAGGGGTAAGGTATATGATACTTAGGTAAAAAATCTGTGCCATTATAGAGGACAAAATGGGCACTCAGTGACTCAGAGGTGAGTGCAGCTCAAAATCAAAGAAATTTATAAGGTAAAAATAACATCTTCTAAACTGTGTGCTTTTTTAAAACTGCAAATAAATGCTTGAGCAGCACTTATCTCCCAAGTGGTGACGTCATTTTGGGAATAACTGTTTCTTACATACTCCTTGAGTATGTAAAGCCTTAAATAATTAGGCCAAATCTTCTAACTAGGGAAACTAAACACATCAAGATTAATATAGTTTTAAAACACTCACCTTCAAGATACTTTCTCACTCTAAATACATTGCACCTCTTTGACTACCCAGTCATTTTTATCCTGGCCTCTACTTCCCATCTTTTGGATCTGCTTGCTGCCTGCTCTAAGGCAAAGCCTGGCCACTTATTTACACAGAATGCTTTCTCATGAATAGTTTACAATGGCTACTTTCTTTAAAATGTGCAGATTCAACACCTTTTTTTAATATACTTTTTTGATTATTTTTTTTAAATACACAGTACACAGACACAACATGCATCAGATTTAGGAGGAGACTTTATACCTGTCAAGGCCCAATTCCTATCTGCTAAGCTTAGTAGTTGATTTGCTCTTTCCTGTGGAAGTCTTAGTGTTTGGGGAATGGTGGAAAGAACTGCCCGATCCTTTCAGACCATTCTTGCTTGTTTTGTTGCAGCAGTGCTCTTGTTGGCAGGACCTCCTAGAAGATGAGGAGCCTGAATGGCTAGGAGGTGATTTACTCCTCCCAAAATGTGGGGAAGAACTCCTCTGATCATGATGGGATCTCCCAGCCCGGGATGGAGAAGAACTGGCAGTACGGGGTAAAGAAGAGCTCCTAGGAGAGGCACTGGGACTGCGGCGGGGGATGACGGGGCTCTTGGGTGGTGTTTTTGGACTATGTGGAGATCCCGGACTCTTACACTGGGTAGAACTCCTTGGTCTTTGAGATCCATTCTGTAGGATTTGAGCCAGACGAGAGATAAGATCTGAGTCCGAGCTGCTACTGCCTAGGACTCTGTATCTGCGCAACCTTAAGAAGAAATGAAGAAAGATTATTTCTATTTCCACCTATTCACTAAAATTCAAATAGAAACTCTGTATCACTAGAAACTAAAGAGGAGCTTGCATTGCTGAACAGATATCTGGAGCTCAATTTTCCCATTAGGTAGAAATGTTTGGATCTAGGTTTTGACTTCTGTGTTGTTCAGCTCAACACAGTATTTACATTTACATAAACTCACCCACATAAACAGCCTCAGTATTTACAGGATAACTGAAATTTCCTGGTGGTATTGGAAGAAGTGCACTGAAGAGCAGTGCTTATTGCCATTGTTTCAGAGGGACACATCCTGTGCACCATCAGTACACTCCCATACAATTTTAAGGGATGACAAGTCCCACTGCAAATTCCTTCAAAGGATTTTGCACAACTGTATCAAAATCATCCCTATCTTGGGAATGTAGACACTGATGAAACTAGATTGTGGTTGTCTGCATATAGATGGGGCAAAGAGGTGGTCTTCTAAAATTCACTCTGCCCTCCTTTAGTTAGTTGCTTTACTTAGACATGATCTGAGCATAGCTAACTGACTCAATGTTGATGACTGGAATCTTCAAATATTTACAATGTCTACATTAAGAACAGGAAAATTTTCAAGGGGGCTAAATGTAACAGCTTCTAAAAATTTCAATGGGTTTGCAAATAACCAGCAGGTCTGGAAAAGTGACCTCACTTTAAAAAAATGTGTAAAGATTTAGTTACATATTGTCAGATTTCAAAATATTGAATACACATCTATTGATGTATTAGTTTTAACAGTGAACCAGGCTCATTCTTGTGTAACAGCTTCTCCTCAATCATTCTCCAACAATGTAAAGTTTCTCAGAGAATTGAAGCTCAGCATTTTTTAAAAAATTAGTTAAAGGATGGAACTTCTACAGGGTTACATCCTGCACAGTAACTGCAGTCTAGCTCAAATCCATTTCCAATCTGAAAATCTATTTCTATTTTCTCTGCATTACCTAGCTTCAACCCCAGGTCTAGTAGGCGGTTTTCCTGGTGGTGGCCGAGGAAAGAACTGAGCTGAACTTGAACTGGTGACTTGATCAGTGGTTGCCCAAGACACCGGCCTTGGAATCTTGCTTTTTCTGGACTGAGGGCTGCTTGGAGACAAAGAGCTATCTTCATTCTGCTTACTGAAATGAGAGTCCAGTGTCAATCTAGAAAATGAAGCTAAGACATCATCCTCAGAAAATGGTACTGGAGCAGCAGCCGTTTTTTCCTCCAGTGACTTATCAGAGGCACTTGAGAGGTCACCAAGGAAAGATTTGAGCTGTCTCTTTTCCATAAGTAATTTGACCAAGTCTGTCTGATGGGCCTTTTTTAGAAGAAGCTTTTCCTTCGCAGAAACAGAAGAGGAATCTGACATTGAGTCTATTTCTTGTGCTAAAACTGGGATTCGACTCTGCCTGAATACAAAAGAAGTTTTAACCGAGTCCTTCTTAGATCGATAAGAATTCTCATTTTCTGAAATGCAGTGGAATAACTCTCCATTTCTGGGAGCATTTTTCTCTTTTTTATTTTCCTGCTGCAAAAAAGTAGTAAGGGCCACTTGGTGGCATTTCAAGTCTTGGCTATGGACTTCTTCCTTATCAGAATGAAAACCATTTTCCTGAACGGTTGCTATTTTGCTTGCCTGTCTATTGACATGTGCGTTATTAAGTCTTGAGGGAGACAATTCTGATGTTTTTGGTGCTATTGACTTCAGAACCTCATCTTGATTTGGCACCAAACAGACAGGCTTTGACTTTGATTCTTGAGCTGCCTCAGTACTTGTTAGAGGTTCCTCCTCTGCAGATTTTGAGTTTCCTGGCAAAGAATTTTGTTCTTTGCTTAGCATTTCAACGGCATCCTCAGAAACCACTGGGAGGCCTTCTTCCTCAGCCTCCTCCACAGGAATCTTTCCAAGTTCTTCCTCTTCCTGTATCCCATTGTGTTCAGATAGATCCTTTTGGTCACAGTCCAGGACATCAACAGATTCTTTTACAAGTCCTTCCCTGCCAAGCACCTCTTGGTTAATATTAAGCATCAAATCTGTTCTGCTGGCACTAGCTGGAAGTGCATCCTCTGTCCCAACCAAACCTGGCAAACCTTCCTTTGGAGAGGAAAGTTCCACAGTGTGTTCCACAGACTGACCGTCCTGCTCTCTTCTCTCTAGTTGATGGCCATAGTGAAAGCTCTCTGAAGCAGATTGTGTGGATGCCACTGAAGGTCTGGGTATTGTTATCTGTATTGGAAAATTTAAAAAAAAGGTGAAAAATTCAGGAATGTTCTAAAAGTAACATCCTTTAAATAGCAGCTTTGGTTCCACGTCTTCAAGATACATTATATAATGATTCCTATGAATCACAATTTTCAAATAATACCTAACTTCATAATGTCATGTAGATAATTAGGAAAAAAAATAGTCTATCATCCTAAGACAGAAATATGTAACATATAAAAACAAGCATAATGTCAGTAAAATATGTTGCTGATAGTAAATAAACCCCCTGGAAATGAGATCCAACAAAACGGGCAGATTTTTATTTACTTTATTTGCTATTATTTATTTATTTATTATTTACTTTACTTTAGTTTGATTGCTCTTTCATTTACATTTGCATATAAATGTAAAATCCTTAACAAGTACACAGCAATATTTTTAGACAAATACAGAAGACAAAAAACACAGTGATGTTTAGATTCAGAAATTGGATGGAGTAAGTTGGTGTATGAATCTGACACAATCTGGACTCAACAGGAAGTGGAAACTGGAGTCCGAGTTTGGTTAAAAACACTTTCTCGATGCACAACTGGTAGAAGAGACAACTAGTGAAGTGTTGCTAGGATTGTGCTGTTACAATACAGAATTTACTTGATTTTGTTACAGAAATTATATATGGTGCTGACCTCACTGGGCTTGTGCAAGAGCTAGTACATTGGTACTACAGGCAATAAAAACCAAAGAAAACAGAAAAGGAAAAAAAAAAGAAAAACAAAAAAACAAAAAAACAGAGAGACCAGCAGCAAGAGTCTATCTTTTGTCTTCTTTATAATTTGTTTTCAAGTTTGGGCCAATACAGTCCTCCATGTTTGCTGAATTAAAACGGTACATTGAGCAAACTTCTGAAGTTACTCAGTTTTGGCAAAACAGTCCTCCTTGTCTCCTGTTACTCTCAGTCTGGGTTCTTTCATCTCAAAGAAACACTATTTCTCTCTTGAGACAGTGAAGTGTTTCTTAGTTTAAAAGACTTCTTTTGAGAGAATCCAAGAACATCAGTTCAGCTAGAACTGATAGATTCTAGAACTAGCTAGATCTAGGAAATAGATTTTTTTTTTAAAAGCACCTTTCCATGATTAGATAATTTAGTACCTAAATCTCAAGTGTTAAAAACAGTTTAGCAAGAATTCTGCACAGAAAGGAAAATGGATAAAACTGGAGGGAAAAAAATAAGAAAAAGGGTTTATGAAACAGGGCAGCTGTTCCATAGGTTTTCATACATATGTAGGAACTTGCCCTAAGACAATACATCTCCAGGTAACCTTAACTGAACGACTTGCTTTCATATGACAAAGGAACTTATTTTGGCCTGTCAGATAAAAATCATCAGCTCATTTACAAATTCTCATCTACAAGCTGGGTAAAAGCGGGTTCAGGAAAATTTAATGCAATATTGTCCTTGGAAGAGCAGGTTCAAATTTTGGAGAGATCACTTGGGCATTTGCTGTCCACTGAGCTCTGTCTTTAGCTTGTTTCAATACCTTGTTCTCTAGGGCTGCAGATGCATCTCAAAAGTAAGGACATGTAAAATTTTTCCTTTTCCAAACTTTTCACTTAATGAGCCAGTCTAGTTGCCAATTCAAATAACTCAGGATTAAAACACCAGAGTTGTCTTCCACGTACCTGAAGGATGACTTCCCTTAGAATAGCATGATCCTGGTAAGCCCACAACTTACAGAGGTGAGACAACCTTAGGGATTTGCTTTCAGGAGGATATTAATTTATTTGATACATTTCCAGAAGAACTGCAACTGCATTTAAATCCTCCTTTGCTCAAATTTGTTGACATGAAAACTCTCTTTTCCTTGGGATACCTCTCTCACATGTCAACTCTTTGCTAAAAGAAAGCAGGTCTGATATGAACTTAATTTACATTTTTCAACAGCCTTTATATCCTTTGCCACATCTGGAGAGAGAATTTTCTAGTCTTTCAGGCACATCTTGATTTAACCCTTACATTCGAGAAAGAGGAGATTAGGCTTGTTGAACCACCTATAATCAAATAGGCAGGAGCTATTTGCGAAAAAAAAACCCACTGAACAAATGGAAAAAAGAAAAGGATATTGGACTAAGTAAAAATAAAGACCCAGTACTACTGAGCAATTCATACTTTCAGAAATGGCTTTTTGAATACATGTATCACTTTCTGGATTTGTATTTACTAACAAACAAAAGGTTGATTTCTCACATAGTCAATAAATCTCTTACTAGTCTTCTCAAAGCACAAGAACTGGATTATATCCTTGCTGGGCTTGCCATTTTATTATTTTATGGGTAACCATAAATGATCCTCATATTTTTATTTCTTGTGCTACTATATACACTCTTATCCTATGCAAACTTTTATGTTTAATCACGTCAGTTATCGAAAACACTAAACCTGAGGAACAAAGATTACAATTCATCTAAGAAGTAAAATATGGGGAATACAACTTAAAATCCTACCTTTCAGTTCACTATGATATCTAGTTTATAACACTGATTATTGCAATTCCTATACTTCAACAGGCGTTATGTGATACAACAGATCACTAAAAATGTCTGAGACAATATAGGGAACAATGAGTTTGAGATTCTCCTTTCACTTCAAAATATTTGAATTAAATTACCACATAGTCTTGAATCTTTTGGCCTTTCCTAAATAATTTCCAAATTCCTTTCTGTTTTCTCAAATTCACACTTGAACTAAGATGAGAAATTATCCTGCAAGATAATTTCTTCAAGAAATTTTGTGTGACAGTTAGTGGAATGTCAAGAAGGAAAAAGAACAAAACAACAACAAAAGGATGTCTCAGACATCCATTATGACATCTGGTAAACTTTCCTCCTTTTAAACTTTTGTCAGGCTGCAATAGTAAGTGGTATGCTTGCAGGAATGCCTCTGTGTAAATATACAGGTGTATATATACATACATGCATACATACATACATATATATATATATATATCCAGCTATATGTATATATACATATACAGCTAATTGTAGAGGAATGAAATACTGAGTTTAGGTCTGCAAAGTTGCTAAGTCTGAAAGACATAAAAGTGTGAATATGGATTATTGTACAATATCAGCAATAGCTTCTTCCTTCCACTCATGATGTCTGATACTTCTGCATGTCAAGTGCTGTCAGGACTTCAGGCCTCTTAGAAAAATGGTGTACAGATTTGTTTCCTGATAATCCTTTCATTATTTGTAATTTCTCATATTAATATGCCATCATTATATTACTGGACATTCTGAAGATACTTCACCTAATCAGTTTACTCTTTAGAACATCTTTCCTACTTTAGTAAACCTCGAAGCCTTTGTTCGTATCCAGGAGAATAAACCCCATGTATCCTTTCTCTTTTCCCTGCTTCTTTTTCACCCATGGTAGCCAGCCGGAATACAACCAATGTTAGCACAAGTCTGCAACTTTGACAAGACCAAAAAATCTCCCTAAATCTTTCCAGTTCATCAGCTTCCTTGTCGTGAGTTTGGTTTACTTACATCCCTTAACTTCTATTTTTCCTTGTACAACATTATGCCTCTGCAAAGAAATTTGAACTGCAGGTTGCATGGAAGTGCCAAGGGTATGTAGGTGCAGCATCCTGTAATCAACTGAGTGCCATTCTCACACGAGTAAACCACTGCTATGCTTTACATCTTGGGAGACAGCTCACAGCTTCCTGCTGAAAATACACCTACTTCGCAAAATACTCCATTCCTTTCACTCCTACTGACTTTCTGGAGTGTAATCCTATTGTAACCCTTATATTCCATCCCCAGATTAAGTTTACAGCAGGGAAGTTAAAGACAATTAATTATACATTTACTAAAGCGTATTGGCTGTTTCTACAAATAGACTAATATGGAGATAAACAGGAGAAGTACATGGCTGTAATTCAGTGTTATGGAACATCAGACTAGAGATTATTGTAAAGTTTGTTACTGAATCCCTTTAAACAGCCCCATATATATAGTACAGCAAGCACTGCCGGCATTTGTAGGAACTGCTGGTCCCCAGGACACTATATTTTTTTGGTAAAAGCTCACATGTGGCAGTCCCTAATCCTAGGCTAAACAGAAGTAATATATGAAGATTTTTTATATCTGAAAAGAGGCACATACTGCTCTCCACAGCTTTTCAGATATATTATTTCTTCTATGTTAATTTTGGCATTGACTTACATGGAGGTTGTGAGAAATGGGAATAAGATGCAGAGCTATAAATGTACAACTGTGTTTCCAAATTTTCTAATGTGATAGGTAGCTTTTGAGGATAAAGAACATTGAGATCTGCATGTACAGTCTTTCTATAAGGCTTATTAGCCATGGCCTGACTTCTGAATTCTTTAAACATCTTCCCTTTTCAGTTATTCCTACATCACTTACCAGATAAAATAAGATTTTTTTGTTGTTGTTCTAACATAAAAACTGTATCCTCAAATAACCAATAGGGCAAATATTGATTGCTCTGAAAATAGTACCTTTAATTGCTTTTAGAGAATGACTGACTGTTAATAAGTGGCTAATTAGTTTGGTAACATGACTAAAACAAGTACTCATTCAATTTGAAACTACTTCTATATAATAAGCAGTATAAACCAGTTGAAGAACACTCCTGAAATTTACTGCTAAAATGGAAAGCAGAGGCAGTTACAGACTATTACTTCATAACACACAGTACTTCTGTGATACTGCTATTAAAACGGTCAGTATTGTATTTTTCTTGAGTTCTACATAAATGGTTCATTTCAAACAAAAAGAACATTAATTTGGCTTTATGCACAGTTCAGAGGTGTGAAGTTTTTTTCTCTGTAATTACAGTTGCACTAGAATCATATGTGAATTTAATAATAGAAGAAAAATATTATAAGAAATAAAGATGTCTAAATTAAAAATTATCTTGTGGATGATACTATAGACAGTATGTACACTTATTTACCGGCACAATATTAATTAGATTAATTAAAACTTCATTACATGAGAAAGAATCATTATGTCCTGAACTGTAACCACCTATTTATTTCAAGATGATTATAAGTATGAAGTGTTGTCATGGAAACAATTGTTGACCCTAGAGTTAATAAGCTCGCCATGGGAAATCCCACAGACCACTTAGCTTTCCTGAAACATCTTTACTTATTTTATGCTAATGAAATTATGATGTTAGAAAAATGTAATAAATCACACATGTTTTGTGTAGGATTGGCATTTTAAAAGAATAATTTAAAAAAGAAAAACTAAAACTTCAAGGACAGACAAGAATAGCTGAAATCTGTGATTTCCAGTTTAGGGAATCTTAAAAGCACTGCTGATGCCAGAAAACACAAACATTTAAAACAATTATAACTTTTTATATATTTGGGGTTTTTTGACTCAATGTATGTGGATGCTATTACCAAGGCAAATTCATTGTCCAGACCTTCATGACTTTTCTGTTGCTTCTAGTAGAGAAAACTGCAGAAGCAGAATGGCCAAGAATGGTTCTGTCACTAGAAATGGAAATGTTCCCTACAGCAACACACTATTTGGAAAAAATTAAGTCATTCATGCTGACTGCTTGTCCTCAACTCTTAATCACTTAATTTACAACTTGGAAAGTTCCCATTGGAAGAATTTAACATGCTGTACTACTTAATTCTTCTTTACACCAAAAGCAGATGTGAAAAAAGTATGCCTGAAGAATTTCCTTCAGACAAAAGACTGCCCCAAAAAGGCAGCATTTAGATTTCTATGTATCAGATATTTCCTCTGACACTTGGATAAAAGTAACAAATAAAAGTTTTCACTTGTCTGCATCAGAAAAATGGTGCATAGAGTAACAATCTTCTAGAAACTTCATTATCAATATAAAATCTAGTTGCTTAAAAGAATGTAAGCCAGGCTAAAAATTACTGAAAAATTAACAACTATTAATTACCCTTTCATGAATGAGATGGTAAAACATCTGTACATTTTCCCTACTTAATAAAATCAAATCTACTGTGTATGAAACAGTTCTAGAAGCTACAAGCTGGACTAACTCCTTGAATTTCTGCCTCGATTAAAACAGGAAAGAACCTAACTTAAACCTCATGCTGACTCAACATAGCTTCCATCAGGATAGGTAACAATAGGCATACAAATTCTGTAAAATCTGAATTAGAACTTTTTTTCTACAAACTATGGCTTTAACCATGGCAGCAGTAAAAACACAGACTCACTGAACAGAGAAAACCTTTTCCCCCATTTCTTTCAAGAACACATCTATTTGATAACGTGCCATGCCTTGAAAATGAAGACCAGAAGAGGATTTCTGGACAAATGTATCCCTTCATGATATTTTAAATTCTAAACCAGAGCGTTAACTAGCTGAGTTTTATAGTAATCCTACCATACATGCCAAGTTAACACCACTGACAAATTTGAAAAGAACACTTTGGGGTTTTGTTTGTTTATTTGTGGTTTCAAAAGCGATTGTTAAATATGAAAACCAATGTAAATTTCATTCTCTTGCAATTGCAGAATAGTGAAACCTGCTAAAATTAGTTCATTAATAAAAGCAAAATTTACAACAATTATGTGCACTCCTGGCTCATAAACTTGAAATGCCTAAAATAAAAAAAAAATAAAATTATAAGGGATATGCATTCTTTCTCTAAATAACCCTTGAACATGTCAAGAAGTCTTAATCTTATTCTTCCATAGGTCCCTGAATTCCAGTGAGAAGCTTGAAATTAAGGTAAATTTTTCAACTCAGATCAGTATATTATTTCTCATCTCGCATACAAATATGAAAGTGATGGCTTGCATCTCCATAGCTTCCTGTGTGGAAAGATTTTAGAGCATTTTTTAACTAATTATATAAGTATATAATTACAAAATATTTTTCAAATGTTCCAATAAGGTAGAAATTTGAGAAATTTATTATCAATTTTTTATATTTATTATTATAAAATCTCTTTATTTATTATAAAGAGAAAATATTTGTATAAGTGCTAACTAATTCTAATTGCTTAACCTGAGAGACACAAATTATCCTTCCCTAGCAAAATGCATAACCATAAAATAATTAAATTTAAATTAGCCTCCCTTACATACGTGATTAAGCACACTGAAGAAAGAAAATACACCTGAATGACAGACAAAACTGGAGTCCACCTTTGTTAAGGGCTGTATCATATTGTAGAGCAGCCAGTTTAGAAATATTCTATATTGCTGCAGTGGCTAGAAGAGGTGTTCACTATCTTACTGCAAAATTAAAGCTGAGAAACCAGAGATAAAAATCTGAGGTCACTGATTCTGATTGTTTCTTAAGACACAGCTACACATTTAGCACTACAGCTACTTAAGCAGTATCTTCACACACAGACCTGGCCAGTAGCAGCTGCACTCACATCACCTTTACCATTAACCTCACACAACACCCGATGCAGCTCTCTAAATGAGCAGACAACTCATCTAGTTGAAAAATTCACAGAAAGAAAGAAAAAGGTTAGGTTTCAAGAGGATTTGCTTTACAATTTGACCATGCTCTAGGTGAGAAGGATACTAATAGCACTCCAGACGCACTCTTCATACCCAAGTACAAAGAATTCATCTGGTTTTTTATGAGCTGTAATGCTACCACACTCTTTTCTTTATGCTGTGAGTTGAATAACTAAGGAGAGCTGAAGCAAAACACTCCAATTCTCTTCCATTATTTATGTATGGCAAGACAGGAGTCCTCTATTGAACAAATATAGCCTCTCTGCACTAGTGAGCAGAGAACAGAGATTTTTATGACCTCCTCTATCTGATACCAAAGCACAGGAAGATAGGTTAGAGTTCCTGAACCCTCATTCATCAAAAATCTGTAAAGAAAGTTGCTTTGCTTGATTTCAGAAACAAATGTATCATTTCTTATTTTTTAATACATGAAACTAAATTCAACAGTACAGATCCCTGACCTCTGCAATTCATTAGTTATGAATGCTGAACCAAATTGCAGACACAGGAAAGAAGTGAAAATATATTCAGTACCAAATATTTATACAGACTAACATAAATGACATTAAAAATCTTTTAAGTATTTAAAATGTGTCAAAAAAAGGAGGACTTGCAAAAGTTTTTGAATTCTTCAGCTGAGCCATGAAGTACATGAGGCTTTCATTGTTGGAATGAACTAAACCATTATGTGCTTGTTTTTTCCATAGGAAATGACAAACTTGAAATTCGTAACACATTTAGGACTTTCAAATCATAGCTCAAAAAGCAATGCAGCAGTCAAGCACTTACCAGGTAAAAGGAAAGAAGAGGCTTAATGCTTACTCCACCAAGTAGCAGCACCTGGCACAATGCCAGGTCTTCTTCACCTGACAGAGTATATCACTTTGTAGCCATTATTAATATTACAGGTGTATTTATTTTTTGGGTACTAAGGAAGCCAGAGAAGACCCTCTGTGCCAACTTGCTTTTTCTGAGCATTGTGCACATTTCACTAAGTCTGCTAATTACACCTGCAATAGATTCTGATTGAAAAACTTACATCATAGCTACAGA